AGAGAGAGAGAGAGAGAGAATGCTCTGAAATACTAATCAACTAGTAACTCCATGAAATATGAAGTTATAAAAACTGACTTACTTGACCCAAGAGAAGTAGTTGGTCTGTACATTTCCGTGTATGATCGTAAGTTGACCTTTTCACTTCCTGGAGATTAACTCTTTCCAGCTGAAACTTCTAGAGTAGGGGGGAAGAAAAGGAAAACTGAGCCTAGATTATAAGACTTTTGAATTATTTAAATTTTACTATAGTTAATAAAGTCATTTTAATAAACATTACTTTGATTTCTAAGGTTATTAAATCAACTACAGAAATATAACAGTTTAATAAGAATTTGAAAAGAAAAAATGTTGAAATGTATTATCATTTGTGTAAAGGCTGCATCCGTACAGAAACTGGCACTTGAGTAGACCTGGATGAAAAATCCCTACATGTATTGAAATAATATATTACAGGTTAAAAAATTATGAAGCTACATTTTTATATATAAAATAGCAAATTCAAACCAAGTGAAAGAAATATTTACAGAAAATTAATAAAATGAGAGAATTAAAATAATCTTTGTAAGTTAAAAAATTTTAGGCAAAGGAAAAAAATCAGAAGACTGTTAATAAAGTTTTTTATGTGTATTATAAAACTCAGTAAATGTTTTAAGTCCCGAGTTAGGTCTTTTTAATGCCAGTGTGCCAAGGCACTCAGTTCTATTATGTGGACCTTAACTTAGTTCCAAAGTTTCCCAAGCTTCAGATACTTACAAAGACATAAGTATTCAAGATGATAAAGGTTTTCATATATGAGATGTAATACCTGAAAATAGGCGTTCTCACAGAGTATGTCGTAACATATGTCCAGCGGGTTGCTCACTTTGTCCCGAGCAGCAGTCTCTTTGGCAGCCGGTGTGCTCGCCGCCTTGCCCTGGGACAAGCTGTGCAGATAGTGGGCAGCGACTGTCCAGAAGTGCAGCTCTGACTCATCGCCATAGAGCCTGGGAAGGGGAAACCAGTTTCCACTGAGCTCACACAGCAGACTTGGACCCGGAGAGGAGCTCCTCACAGTAGCCTGAAGAGCTACAGAGCACAGGGCCGTCATGTGAGCAAGGTCTGGGACACAGGCGAGGTGCCGGCAGGGTCCAGGTGCTGAAGGAGCAAGTTCCCAGCCTTGTTACTGGGGCTCCCACAATACCGGGGCCTGACTGCATAGGGCCCCTTCAGCCCCAGACCTCTGTCTGTTCTGCGCTAGGAGCAATGCCACAGTTTAGAAACCTGGGCCACTGGGATTTATCCAGTTTGCCATTTGCACAACTTCTGATCTGGACCACAGCATCTTATGAAGGAAGAAGCTCCTCTGGGATAACTGGCTAGATGAGGAGTGGAAATAACTTGCAATTTCTTCTCTGGGGAGTGGAGGGAAATATCTTTTTTACAAGTAACAACTCTACTGTACAGTGAAGAAGTATAGGCTACTGCTTCTAAATATAATTTATCAGTATATTTAAGGACATACCCTTTATAGCTGATATTTTAAAACACGTATTTTAAAAAGCTGTCTGTATGAGGGAGGCTTTCCAATAAAAGGCCTAGATCTCATGTGGAAAATGTAAATTTTTCCCTAATTGTATTACTACTTTCTAAATTACTTAAGTCATATGTTAAGGATGAACTAAAATATTTTTCTAAAATTTAGATTTTAGAGTCTGATCTTAACCTAAAAGCCGTGACAAGAGAAATGAGTGAACCTGAAGTTTTCTGTCTTTTACACAGCACACTTCAAACAGCGTTACCTTGAAACAAGCAGGCATCTCTGCAGGAGAGTGAATTCTGGATCGAGCAAGAGTTTCTTTATGTCACTGCGGATAGGAACCCAGACAAAGGCAAGACAAAAATTGTTAATTAAACAATAAAGCAAGGAGATAAATCAGCATACTCTAGAAATGGAAAATTCCACTCAAAGGGTATGTTTAAAACTTACAAAAGAGAGTTCGCCATGTCCCTAACATTACGAAAGCTTATAGGGCAGAGTGTGTGCGTAGACTTGGAGAAGTGGTACCCAGCGAGCACCACAAGGGCCGTGAGCCTGATTCGGGCTGACATTCTTGCAAGGGTTCAATTCACATTCTTGAAAATATGAACAGCTGCCTAACGATAGGTACAACAATGTCACTGTTGATAAAATGCTTTGCTAATCATCAGGAACAGTATATACCTTACAGAAGATGCATTCAGAATTTATTTGAACTATCCCCAAAATAAAATATTTAAGGAAGAAAGACTAATGTTTTTATAAGCTGATATTTCTAAAATAATCAAATATTGAAGAATATTCATAAATTGGGGGGAGGGAGAAATATTCTTTAAATCTATTGTTTTCCATTTAAGCACAAATATTAACTTTTGAACAGAGGAAAAAATAATTATTTTGAATTTGACATCAGTAAAACATTCTATTATGGCTAATTTATTAAATATTATAATTAGGTGTGACAGATTCTAGATTGGCAAAATATGTTATGTTTTACCAAGAACTCCTCAAGGACGTCTATTTTTCTACTTCCTTTGCAATATTACTCCTAATATATACATTTAAATGCTCTTGGCTTAGGGAACATTCTGATTTCTTAGCCAGAACTGTGCACACAGCACCTGACTCGGGGAACTCATTTCAGAAGTGGGAAGCTGACACCCAAGCATCGCCCTGTTGGGTCCTCTTGTGTGAGGCTTTGCGGGGCGTGTGTGGTGGAGGCCGGGTGGGCTGCGAGGATGTTCACACCACAGCTTATGCTCTGGCCCCGACAGGAGACCAGTGCCATCTGCCACTTATGAAGTTGTTGAAGACAGATGCTCTAGCAGTGTAACTATGAAATACACACTTCTACAAAACAAAGATTTTAAAGGGACACAAACCTCTATGATAGAAAATGACCTCTCCTTGGGGCCACTAATGTTTTCTAAAATGCAAATTACTTGAATTTAAAAAGGACTAAACTATTATATTTTATTTCTCATATTCTTATCTTCTAATAAAACACAGTCAGAGTGCTTACTTAGACAATGAATTCAACTGCTCTTGAAGGAGATTCTTTATTTCTTCATTTTCTGGATAATCACTGTATAGAAAAAAATGTGAATGAGTTCATTATCTCTTCACTCAAAACCACTTATTTCTTCACCAGAAAAAAAAAAAGCTGTGTTAATACAGAAATAACCTCTTTGTAGTCCTTGTCTAAAAACCTGGTTAGATCAAAACACAAGTCTACTCAGGACCCATCAATCATCTTTAACATCTGCTTTTAGTCAAAACAAAGTGATGAATAAAGAAAGTCTCTCTGACTTTCAAGAATGCAGAAAATTTATCAGTGGGCTCTAAAAACTACAGGTTCAGATTCATGTGAAGAAGCCATTTGGCGAGGACTAAAGGGATGTGCTCGTTCTGCTCTGCAGAAGGGACATTCGTGTCCCTAAGCAGACACTTCCTGGAGCACGGACACACCCTCGCATTCTTTTTATCCCTCTAACCCTTGCCCACCTGTGCTTTCCACGTGGCATAAGCTCCTAACATTTGTGGGTTTAATGAGTAACCACTAAACACAGTTTCTGGGAACAGTTTTGCAATGAGGCAGGCATGAAGATTTATAAAACATAAACACCTCTGAAGTAGGCCCATTCTTGCTGCTTTTAAAAAGAATTAAGCCTGGCCCCAGATTCCTCTTGGCCTCAGCTGGCCCTCTTCACACTCATCATGCCATGCCTTATAATCAGGCTATAAGACGACCACAGGGCCACCTGAGAGCAGCACGTGTACTCAGCCCTCCCAGACTCACGCCTCCAAATGCCCCAGAGAGGTGAAAACGAGAGGCCGACTTGCGATTCTATTAGTGTTTCTGCCGTCTCGGCCTTGGTGTGGTTTTAAGGTCCCAGGCCTTTTAAGTCCTGGATTACAGGCAGCTGCCTGGATTACAGGCAGCTGAAGGGTGTCCTTCAACCCCAAGGAAATTAAGAAAGGAAGGAAAAAAATGGGAAAACACTTACACTTGAGAAATATCCAAAGAATACTGTCCATTCCAAGGCTGGTGTAGTAAGAAAGCTTTCAAGGCGAGGGAGGCCCTTGGAATAAGGAGATACGGGCACCACACAGGCTCTAGATCAAAAAAAAAAAAGTGTATTAAAAAATAAAATGTGACACCACTATGACTTCAGCTGTAGACAGTTTACAGAGAAGTCAGCAGAGAAAAATGTATAAATCTGGTAGCAAGTGAGAGAGTATGTTTAATGTACTCAGTAGTTAAGACACACAGGCTAAGAGTGGGAGATTCTCTTCATTCAAACTAACGTATTTTTCTCCCCTTTTGAAGGTTTAGGTCTCCTGATGGTATAAAATAATCCTACCCGAATAAAAGGTTCAGTGCGACGACGCAACAGATATCAATATAGCTCATTATTTTGAAATACTAACAATCATCACTTATCAGTATCACCTTATGCCATTTGATGTCTTTGCTTTTCTGAGACTGTTAAATTAACACGGCCCATCAACCCCGAGCTTCTCAATGAAGGGACCAGGCCACCTCTGATCAACTGCATCCTCAGGTCTCACCTACAAGGGCAGCCCCTGAGCAAATGGACTATCTCCCTAGACTCTGGAACCTAGTATCCCCTACATGCCGCATCTGGCTTATTTAGGACACAACAGACAGGATTTGCCTGTTTTTCAAGTTCTGGTGCAAAGAAACAGAAGACCCAAAGGCTCCACCCAGGCAGCTGGGCTCTGACTCCCTGAACAGCCGTATTCCGTCCTTAGTCCTTGACCTTAGACAGAGTCAGTCTCTGGGATCCACTGGCTCCTACTAACTCAGTCCCACTGCCTTCCCGCGTCCTGCAGAGCCTTTCTTCCATTGATCCCTTGGAAACCGACAAGTGGTGTTGCCTTCCATAAGTGACCACAGACTTCCCACTCCGCGGTCTAACACGACAGCCACTAGTCCTACGTGGCTACCGAGCACTGGAAATATGGCAACTACAATGAAGTAAACGAATGCTTATCTTAATTTTAATTAATTTTAAAAACTAATACTTGATTCAGTCATTATATAACTTTTAATTATATTTCGAAGAACTTGGACACATGACTACTTCCACGGTAAATTTTATAAAATCTAAATACAATTCAAGTATTTCTGCTGAAAGCTTTCCTCTAAATTGAGATATACTCTAAATGTAAAATACACACTGAATTTTAAAGACTAAGTACTTACTAAAAAATGTAAAATATTTCATTAGTAATTTTTAATACTGGTATGTTGAAATGATAAAATTTTGGATATACTGGCTTAAATAAAATTTTTATTAAAATCAATTTCATCTGTTTGTACCTTTTTAATGTGGGTACTAGAAAATTTAAACTATGTATGTGGCTCAAATTATATTTCTATTGGACAGCACTGCTTTAGAAAACTTCATTCTATGTAGTTAAGGACGAATTAAATCATAGATAAAATACTTTACATGGACTTTTCAATTTCTACATTGGAAAGTGGTAAAAAATAGTTCCAATACCACTTTTTTTCCACAAACAAGTTTTAATACAGATTCAGTAAAGTCACTTAGAACGCAGTTCATATTCAAAACTCCTCTGTTATCCCCCAAGTATCCTGACAGCGGTCTTCTCTTCAAAATCCTAAGGTCTGGAAAAGGCTGCCCCCTACACTGTTCTGTCCTGTGTCTAGTATCCTCTCACCCAGGACAGATCTCCCACTGTTTTTGTCTTACACGATGTTTTCATTTTTGAAGAGTCAGCTGTTTTAGAAAATGGCTTACATTCTGATTCGTGTGTTTTCTGAGCCTCGGATTCAGGTTAATCATCTTAGGCAAGTACATCACACAGGCAACACTGTGTGCATCCCACCGCATCTCATCAGAAGGGGCGTGAGTGGGTTTCCTTCTGGTAACACTCAATCTCATCACCTAGTTAGGTGGGAACTCCCCAGAGGTCTCTTAGTCAGGGCACCTTCTCCCCTTTAGAGTTAGTGGGTAACGTGTGGGGGAGATACTGAGAAGGAACCTCCTGTTCCCGAACACCCTTTGACCCAGGGATACGAGATCCACTTAATGATCCTGGCTTGAATCAATGAACACGTTAGGAGTTGCAAATTGGTGACTGTATAATTCTAGCATTCTGTCTACATTTATCAAGCGGCATTCTTCTATAAACACGAGCTTTCCCTTCTTGCCCACTCCCCCTTCTTTCTTGGAATATTACTATGAAGTGATGATTGTTTTTAAGTTCAACACTAATATCCATATCACCATCATTCTTAGCAATGCTCAGACTCCCCTGGGTTTGACAGCAGAAGCCCCTCAAAGCTAGTCTCTGTATCCTTATGACAGGTTCTCACTGGTTTTCAATTGCTTCCTTAATTTCTGGCACCGCACTATGTCCCAGATTCATCTTGCATCTTTTCTGCTTTTATCCTGGAATAAATGGTTTGTCCAAGGAACCCTGGTTCTTTTTGGTCAGGAAGTGAAATTTCCTACAGGGATCACTCCTCAAGCAGTGTATAGAGGTGTTTGTTTTCTCAAGGCCTTGCAACAGATTATGTTTTTAAGCTTTTGAATTTCTGTTCATGTGTTGGGTGAGAAATGGTTTTAGTGTAGTTTTAATTTGTATCTTTCTTATTATGAATAAAGTTGACATCTTTTCACATGGTTAAGGGCTATTTGTATATCTTTTATTTCTCCCTGTGGACATCTGCTAATGACTTTCAAATATTTTCACCAGGTTATCATTTATATTTTGCTTTGTTTATAGTTTCTTCTGCTATGAAAGTTTTTTTTTTTCCTATTAGTCAAATTTCTCTTTTCTTTTACACATCAGTTATAAAGGAAGGAATGTACCTGGTAAGAATGAGGCTCACCTACCTATCTACAGAACCATTAAAATTGGCACTGGAAGGGATGAAGGGATTTAGGTTGCTGAATGCTTTCTCTGTTTACCCCAATGGATGGCAATCTTACGATTCTCACATTTTCAGGTCACCCTCTTTTGCTTTCAGACAGTAGTAGCAGCTGGCATTAAGTCACAAAATGTTTAGAAATACTAAATGTCACGGACCAAAAATTTAACAATATAAATTAAACTTGAATAGTTCAAGGAAAAGTTCCCATGCTACACAGAAACGACGTGGAAGTTTCATAATCAGTGGACAAATGAAAAGACAAAAGATAATCCTAGAAAGCAGCACTGCAGAGTGTTTATGTAAAGTTAGCAAGACATTTACAGCCTGAGTAAACTGAAGGAAATGTCTTATTTTTAAAACAAATATGTGTTATTTCTCCAAAGTATTGTTGACACATAGCATCCCCATGAGAATGAACAAACTGAAAGTGAACTCTATTACCTCCCACACGCAAATGAATTTAAATCTTTCTTCTCAAGGGCAGAGATCAGCCATGAAAAACAGGAGATCATCTATCTCACAGCTAGGGAGACTCACCTGCAAGAGCTCACTGCCTTCTGGAAACTGTACAACTAGGATGAAAGGCAGTTGGCAGCATTGCTACTTCTCTTAGATACATTCTGCTTAGTCTGGGCTGTGCGTACTATCTGAGGTGTTAATCAGAACACACGAAGGCTTTCAGGTGCCTGTATGACAGCAAGGCAGGAAATCAGGAACTGAAGAGCCAAGAGGAAAAGCAGTAAATAAATGACTCTGTCGCCACTTGGAGGTGGCAAATGTCAAGGTGAGTAGGCAGTCTAGGAAGAGGAGCTGATTTCGTTCACTGGAACTCAATGAGGGGGAAGAAGGGAGACAGGGGACACTAACACATTTTGGGCCGGAAAAGTCTTCATCGTCCAGACTGTTCCACACACTGCATGCTATTTAGCATCCCTGGACCTCCCCACACTCACAAGTCACGGCACATTTCCAAATGCCCCAAATGAAAACTACTAGAAAACGAGTGTGGAAAGCTGAGGCAGACGGAGAGGAAACGTTCGTGTATAAACCTGGTTTTAGAAAGCGTCTTCCTCTATGAGCGCACTTGGGAAAAGCGTGTTCACCAGTGGCCCGCCAGCTGGGAGGGAGGTAGACTAAGGAGTCTCTGAAATGACTGCTATTGACGGTGTGTGGAAACGGCATCATACTAGCATGTTACTAAGCAAGTCTCATACTCTTGGATTCCTTTTAGATGCTGCTGCAAAGAACATTACAATTTTTTATGCCATTTTATGCCCCTGATAACAAGGCAGCAGGTAAGAAGTGTTCTCCAACTCAAAAACAGGGATTCCAATCTACGTTCGTCTGATCTCTCCCTTTATTGTATGGGGTGTGGGGGTGGAGAGACAAATGTAAATAAAGTGGGTGTGGAGAGAGGGGCTACCTAAGCTGTTCTAAGAAAACAGACAGCTTTAAATGAGTACTTTATGATACTCTCTATTTGTTATCAAGGAGAATTGAAGAAAATATATTAAATGTGATATATCATTGCATCTGATCTAAAACGATTTTATTTTTATCCCACATCAATAAGTCCAAAATATATTTCTAATTCCCCAGAATAGAAATATATTATATGAAACATATTTTTCCGAGACCAAGTCAGCACGTATTTGGAGGTAAACACATCTTTCTCCTAACTCCATGTTTACACTATCACCAGTTTTTATTCTTTTAACATTTATCAAGTGTTGTTCTAAGTTTAAAGCTTAATTTGTGGAATGCAAGCACAATTTTATTGACCTTTCTCCATTGCTATTTAAAGTTATTTTCCCTTTTTACCTAAGGCTGCACCACTACAGGTTAAATATAAATGATTTTTTTTAATATTAGGAAAACTTTAAAAGAAAAATGCAATCTAAAATTGGCTGCAGGTCAGATGTTCACATATGGTACTAAACATGGGTCAATGATGGGCTCTAATTCTGTAGCCAGTTAATTTTAAGAAGAAGCTTCCTTGGCTTTGGAGATTTTTAGACTCATATTTTAAATTAAAGGTCAAAGAAAAGCTTCTCAAACATTTAGATTATATTTGTGCACTTCTTTACCTAGAACTAGTAACTGAATTAAAAGAAAAACCATCCTTGAAGTTCCCTCAATTTCCTTAATAACTTCAGGTTTAAAATCAGTATCGAAGCTTCTCCTTCCACGGGAGGAAGCCCTGAGTCCGAAGGACGACATGGAAACGCCACGCTCCACTTCTGGCTTTATCACATGGCAGTCACAGTTATGCTGTAAGAGGTGGTACCCAGGTACAGGGGAAGGGGTGGGGCAGAGACAGAAACAAAAGCACACCTGACCTAAGTTATGGGTGGCCCGCCAACATTAGCAGCAACTGGGAAGTGCCTCAAGCATGAACCTAACAACAAGGAGCAGGTTTTCAAAACATGACTGTCTCTGAACAAGCCAAAGGCAGATTCACAAAGGTACAGACAAATTCCAGGGCAGAGAGTTCTATGCTGAAACTTGGTAAATGACTAAACACGTCTCTCAGGGAACTTTCTGACAGATCAGACAACCTGGGGTGTACACCAAAGGTATGCTTGGAGAATACTTAATGTGGGAAGTTTCCCGCTTTGCTCCAATTAGGATCAGAATATTCTTCTCTTAAAGTAACTTACGAGGTTATTTATACTAAAATATTTTTCATTCTGGTAAAAAGCATGTTAAAACAACCATACAATAAAGGGTAAGATAGTACAATCATCTAATTTTGTTTTGACTGGCCATCTAACAAGTCATAAGATAGGCATCAAAATGCATAATACGCAGAACACTTTCCAAGGTGACTTTTCAAAGATACGTGTTTGTAAAAGACACAAGGTTCATTATTAAAAAGCTAGCAGCACCTTATCACTAGATCATGTCCTCTGATGAGTTCTCCTAAATTCTGAGTAGCCATTTTTATGAACATAAACATCTTTGATCATTAGAAAAAGCTCTAAGGAAAGGGTTGAGGAAAGGGCACTTTACCATATTGGAGTTCTTAGCAGTAGAAACACTGAAGCTTTAAGTGAACATGTTTTCTTAAACTCAGATTCTTAGAAAGACAGACTGAAATGAACAGAAGTAGCTCTCTCCCCAGAAGGAAGCAGCTTGGGCAAAATAGAGACAGACTTCAAAGCACCCTTTCATTAGAACTCCATACCGGTTAACTCTTGTTCATCCATTCGAAAACACGTGAACTTCATAGACATCTCGAGAACTCTGATACACCCGTCGTCTGATGCCAAGATCACTTTATCTGATGTACACCAGTCCACATCCAATATCCGAAAGTTCACATTTCTTCCACTTCTTAAACTGCTCACCATCTGAACCTTCAAGAGTGAATTTGGTTGTCACTTTCAGAAAGAAAAGGACAAGTTTATCATTCTGGATTACAGTCAAAGAAAGCCTGGGCCAAGGCCCGGTGGACACCTAACACTGAACGGTCTCTGGCAGCTACTCCCACATGCAGACTGCATCTTAAAGGTCCCAAAGACAGTGACGACACTTAAAAAAACCTGCTGGGCTGTCACCTTTGGAACAGAAATACTGTAAATACAAATTTTAAGAAGAAAATTGTTTGAGGCTTGACAAGCCATTGCACAGTTTTCATTTCTACATCAGAAGGAAGGAAAAGCCCTGAGTTTCTGTAAGCAGCAGCTTCACTTGCGGGGAACACACGAGGAGCTGGGCCTACCTCTTTAGTGTCCCACACTTCAGCTCCGTCATTGTACATGGCTATTAATTTTTGGTTTCCTTTACCAGGGGCAAAACGAATCTTCCTCACCCAGCTCCGGTGTGTAGGTATCCCTCTGAGGACAAACAAAAAGCAAAGCACCAATATGAAGCAGAGTAATAGCTCATCACCAGAAACTATGCCTCTTTCTATTTCCATTTTTAACAAGGTCTGGTGATGGGAGAACCACTTTACTTTATGGGAAAAGGACCACATCTCACAGAAAGGGTCTGCCCTTTAACAAGAGCTGGAATAGTGTCCCAGAACATCTGTATGGGCCTCTTGCAGATAGAAATGATCCAGAGCTTGGTTCAAGGCCTTTCCTCCCAAGTTCAATGATAAGAGACCCAAGGTCTAAGCTACAAGCCATGTTTAGTGATTGTGCTTACCAAGTCACAGCCTCCAATGGAACCATATCAATAGGTTATTATTTTTTTAACCAAATAACAAGACTGCATTCTTAACTCATACCTGGATACTCTGCCTTTCAAATCCCAAAAATTTAAATTTCCATCCACATCTCCAAGAACTAATGTATCACCTTTCCAAGCGATGCAGGTAATACTACCCATACTTCCCTAGAAAAGAAGAGCAACAGATATACATAAATTTCACTCCTCATAAGCTGTCATAACAGAGCAGTATTTTTACTTAATAACTGTTGAAATAATATAGTTTAATAAAACTTAATTATAAATGATTTTGCTTTATTATGAATGCCACCAAACACTAACAGACAGACTTTGGACTCTGAAAGAGCTACGTAGCACATCAATTTCAATTATGGAAAAAAAAAAATAGGCGATATCAATTTGATAGATATTAAGTTATCGGAACTAGATTTATAGAGAAGCTGTCTCTTTGAGAAACAAATACCTTAAAGAAAAGAAAATTAAAAGATGAAAAAACGAGAAGGAAAGAAACCCTTTCCAGAGAGCTCTGGTCTCCACTTGTCTCTCCTGCAAAAGGATAAACAGATCTAATCCAGGGGAAACTCCGAGCTGTTCTGTAACAACCACGCGGCAATTTTTCTACTAAAACACAGGGCTCAGAGCTCCATGGATACCTTCTAGAATAAAGAAGGTGAAGAGGAACTGTCATTAAAGGCATCTGTACAATCTGAATCCACAGAAAGCTTTGCAAAACAGTTACATATGGAAACGCAAATGTAAGAATGCAGCACTGCTGCAATGACTGCACTGGGAAGGAAGGGGACCGCAGCTGTGCCACACGCACAGGCTGTGTGACGGAAGCTCAGGAGCCTGGGCTCTGCAGGCTGCTGCCTGGGTCTGAATTCAAATTTTATCACTTAATTGGGTGCATGATTTGGGGCATGTTTGCTTAATCTTTCTGTGTCTTGGATTTTTATCATCAATAAAGTAGGGCAAACTCATGAAACTTGAGGAGTTCCCATTAATGTTAATAAACGTATAGAGGTAAAGGCCTTAAAACAATGCCTGCCAAACAATAAACAGTCAATACGCATTAGCTATTAAATAGTATTACTGCTCAATTACTTCTCTTGCTTCTGCATTTATAGAACAATAAAAAATGCACATGTTTAGTTCTCATGGTAGCCATAGTAAGGAACAGGAAAGCTGCACAGGTTACCCAACTGACTATTAATAGACTGCATACACACCAAATGCTGCATAAATCCTAGTAGCAGACAAGGAACAGAAGAAAAACTGTATTAAAAATGAGCACTTTAGTAGATTCAATAATAAAAAACTTAGGTTATGTTAATTAAATAGACTTATGTATAATATGAAACAACACTTCAAGATCTTATTGTATTCTCCTGACCATATCAACACAAAATTTAATTAACAATTGGCCTTTAATTTTTTAGTCTCGAAAATTTTAACATTTTATAATCTTACTAAGTTCTAAAAATTAGAATATCAACATTTAAATTAGCCCAGAAATCAGTGTTACCAGCTTAGAATGACAAGTGATGTATTACTACAACTGTACAATTAAACATTGCCGACGTTTCTACCTAAGAGTTTGTTGATGGGACATAAGCCGTATGGAGATACCAAGGTGCTTTCAGAGGATGTGCCACAACCTTGCTTTGTGGCTCCAAATAATCCTGAGAGAATCAATGTAAGATTTAAACTGAACAGACTGTTATTAGTTGACAGTGATATGCTGCTTACATGTAAAATATGAGGTTCAAAAAGCCATACGTCAGGCTGGCAGCAGAGCAGAGATTCACTCTTGCCCATTGTTCCAGCTTTCTGAGTGAAGGCAGTCGGCTACAGAATCTCCATGAGAACAAACTGAAAGTATGCCACACCTTCCTCTGCATTTTGTCATTTTTACGTGCTTGATAATTATGGGACCAAATCCAGAGGGAAAATTTCAACTCAAAACAAATGTTTAATACTTTACATTTGAGAGGAGGGTAACATAAATAATGGATTAAAATAAGCAAACAAAACCTCTGCCTAAACTCTACATTATAACCCCAGGAAAATATTTTCATTACAGAAAATAAAAATAATAAACCAAAACTAATTCCTCTTATATCATCTAGTGGAAGCTCCATGCCCTTTCCTTAAAAATAATCTGCCCTAAAATACGAGCATGTATGCACTGATTTCACTCGTATGTGCTAATTTCACCGGAGGCCAGATCCTCATTACTCAGCAGGCGGGTCATTCTTTGAGGAAGCTGTGCAATAAAAGGACCTGGCAGGCAGAATGGAGACTTCCTTATCCTGACTTCAGATCTCCACAAAAAGAATCAGAACTTTAAAAGCTGTGTGGCACCATTATCATCCTGCAAGCACTTATAAAAAGAAAAACTTGTGTCAATGTCCAAAAATTTTAAACTTTTCTGGGGGTGCGGGGGGGTGGGGGGTGGACTGGCATCTAAAAAATTACTGGATTGCTTCCATAGTCTCTTCGCAAATGTGAAGTGATCAGAAAAGAGACTTAGCTGCTTGCCAATAGCATAGAAGAGCTCAGATGGGGCCTCCTCTGGGCTTCGAAAGCATGAGCTCTATATACTACTATGAAAGTAGAGCTTGTCTGAAGGACATTACACTGCTGCTCACCTACACACTTAGTTAGGGTACTTCTATTGTAACTACCAAATATCAATCTTTCACATTTGCAGTATTTTCCTCCTTTCAAATTAGTAAAAATTTCTGGTAACACTAAAGATAGTTCAAAATAGACTAAGTCTCAGATCTGACTTTCTGTATACAATAGTAAAAATGAAATTAGTTTGAAGAGCATTTCTGCATGCTAGTTTCTATTTGCAGTAGTGAAGGTTGTTTGGGTGCCCTCGATTCTTCCACAGCTGTTAATAAGGAAGGCATGGTAGCCAGCTTCTAAGAGGCCCCCAATGATTCTGCCTTTAGGTATTCCTGTCCCTTGGTAGTCACCTCCCACAAGAAACAGGGCTGACCTGTGAACCAACAGCATAGTGTGGAAATGACGGAGTGTGACTACTAAAACTAGGTCCTGAAAGACACTGTAGCTTTCTTTTTTTTATTTATTTTTTTTTTTATTGGGGAATTGGGGGGATGGGAACAGTGCTGGGGAATTGGGGGAAGGGGAACAGACAAGTTGCTGTCGTTTTGTTCTTCAATCTAGTTGTGGAGGATGTTGCTTCACTGGCCCAAGTTGGCACCATCATTGCGCTCTTCTCTGGCGAGGCAGATCAGTCGCCGGCTTCTGGACGGCCGCTCACTGCGGCTGCTGGCCGCTCACGCTGGCTGCTGGCCGCTCACGCTGGCTGCTGGCTACACACGGTAGCCCATGGCAACCCACTGCCACAGGGAGTGCAGCCTACGCCGTCGCCGGCGACTCATGGCAGCCCATGCTCCAGGTTGAGCTGTTGTTCAGCATCTTAGCTGTGGAGGGCAGTGTCACTGGCCCTCATATGTGGGATCCGAACCGGGGCCCTCTGGCATCCCAAGCGAGTTCTTAACCATCGCGCCACTCGGCCGGCCACTGTAGCTTTCTTTATACTCTTTCTTGAATCACTCACTCTGGAGGAAGCCAGCTGCCATGTCATGAGGGCACTCAGAGCCCGATGGAGAGGTCCACATGTGGAAAAACCAAGGCCTCTCATCAACAGCCGGCATTAATGTGCAATGGCCCGTGTGAGGGAGCCAGCCTGGAGGTGGGCCCTCCTGCCCCAGCCAACTTCCCGGCTGCAACCTCATAGACATGAGTGTTGGCAGTTGACTAAAACATTCCATTTTTAGGTGACAATTCTAAATACGTGTGTGTGTGTGTGTGTGTGTGTGTGTGTGTGTGTATGATTATATAATCATCTCATGCCTTCACTTAACCATTACAGTAGTATTAGTCAGCTATAACATTTTCTTCATCCATCCATTAAAAATGTGAGATACACGCTGACACAAGTTATTAACTATAAAATATCAGAGGATTCCACAAGGCCGTAAGAAGACTATATATAAATTAGTAAGTATTAATGATACTATTAACCTTACAACCTGATTACTATTATCCAAAAATAATACTAGACTGTAAATCACATCCTTCAGAGTAATGTCTGAAATGGAGAGAGGAAAGATACTGGATCCAGAGAGACATACCTGAGTTTAAAACTGCCATGTCACTAAGCTGGGTAACCTTGGGAACGTTACTTATTCTCCCTCAGTTTTGTTACAGATAAAATGGAAATAATTTCTCATGGATTATCATGAGGATAAAAATGAGTAGCGCATGGTAAGTACTTAATCAAAGTAGTTATTATACAATGCTATTCTCTAACAGTGCAGAGCAAGTTTCATCAATGATACTATCTCCTTAAATAGGAAAGTTTATTTACATTAAATTTTTCTGAAAGAGCTTTCCAACTTAAGGATGGCCTTACTGGATATAGAGCCAATAAAATGTTCGATAAGAACTCTAATACAGATCTAACCAAGGGCGGACTCACATCTGGGGGAATCCGAGCGCTGTCTTTCACTGAATTTCCTTCCACAGTGAGATGATAAACTTGGCCGTCGTGATCAGTAAACACAAAATGCTCCCGGGCAGAGATGTTCTGACTGAGTTCAGATTTACTTTCTGCTTCCTGCAACAAGCTTTGGGACAGAGAGAAATAAGATAAAGATATTTCATTTCCCTAGAGTGACACCCGTAATTAACTAACTCGTCCAAAATACAGATGCATTAACAGGAGGTCCAAAACCATTAAAAAAAAAAAGGCTGAAACTAATCTTTCCAGCTAATAACAGGAAAGTACAAATTACTCCCAAATAGTCATACCCCAGAGAACATTTCCCCCAACAGAGGAACGCAGTGCCCTGGGCTTCTCACAAGAAAAAGAAGCCTCTCCGCTGTTTCTGCTGCAGAAGTCTCCTCAGCAGGAGACAGGCCTTACCCTGACTCACCACGCTCTCAGAGGGTTTTTGTCAAATGGTTGGGGGTGGGAATGGGAATGTGGACAATACCTAAATCTAGAATTCTCAATGTATCAGGGGTGCCAAAAAATGTACACATTTTAAGAGATGTTATCAATGTATTACTTTTTGAAGTTGAATTGAATTACGGTAGCAAAATGTAGTATGACGTTTGCGCAAAAGATGGTGTTAATCAAATCTAGCGTCATTCGTTGTGTTATAATTTTAATATAGTTTTTTCCTTACTTAAAATGTGTGTTCATTTTTTTGGCACCCTCTGTATTTTTTTTGGTGTACATAAATGACAATGTGATCTCTCTGTATGTTCACGCTACGTTCATCCGAATTTCAGAAGTGGAAGTTTATGGAACAGAGGGGCACTGAGAATGCTCATTTCACTAACGGATGCTGACGTATGGATATCACTGTATAAGTTAGTGACTACACTATGTAACACAATAAATTAACTCTTCAGTAATCTGGGTATGTACTGAAATACCAAAGAAAATATGTTCAAAGCAGAGTGTAACTTGCTTCACGAGATGCCTTTGGGTGACACTTGTCAAGTTCCCAGCCATGACATGGATATTACAAATGACAGTGGCAGGAAACAGCACACTCACCTGATCACAGATGACTCAGCAATGCTCAGCTCTGCATCGGAGACCACGGTCTGGCGGGCCATGGCCTCTCGGGTGGCCAGCTGTTTCTTCCTCAGGCTCTTCAGGTTGTGAGATGGTGACCACTCCTGCAAAGCACAGACAGACACACCTGGAAGTGCTCAGTTTCCTTCTATCAGAGAGCCCTTCCAGAAGGGCTGGCACCTTGCCGTTGCCTGGCATCACTTATTATTACTGCACATGAATTCACCATTTGTCCTTTGGTTTTATTTTGTTATAGAAAGGCTAAATGAATGCATTTTCATTAGAGCTTAAGGTAGAAGCATTTAATAATTTGTTTCCATCTCCTGCTACTTCTAATCTTTAATTAGAGCTTAAAGTAGAAGAGTTTAATGGCAAACTTCTAGAAGGTCTAACCTTTTTTACAAGACGGAAATAATATAAAATTCAGTTACGGGATCTCCTATCTCCTCCCGCCATGCCCTCTCCCCAGGTGCACAACATGAGATAATCAATTTCCTCTGATAATGGCCCATTATCATCCACAGGTCCACCTCAGATCTCTCATTTTATTTCTTTTTTCTCTTATATTCCCGCCCATTCTAATGCATTTAATCTAATTTCCTCTCACATGTATAAATTCTTCACATGCAGTTCTTTTACATGTATGTATTTGGAGCTTACATAAATAGCAAGCACTGTGTTATCTATCTCATCCTGTTTCTGACTCTTTTCACTCAGCACAGTGTATCTAAGTCCCACCTCTGTGGTTCTGCATGCTACAGAATACTCCATGGGTGCATCCACCCAGTTTTAGTCTGTCTGTTCTCTCAGCCAAGGACACCCAGATGGCCTCCAAACTCATCGTGACAAATAACACGGCAGTCAACATCCTCACAGAAGTTCCTTTGTGACCAGGGGCTGAACAGCTGGAGCAGAGGATGTCTGTGCTGGCCTACATGCTGTCAGGATGGCTTCATCCGTCTACACTCCTACCAGCAAGTGCAGGAGAATTCCTATTACACCCACCGTATTACACCCACATCTGATGCTATCTGGCTTTCCAATTCTTGTTAGTCTAAAAGATAGATCATGGTTATTCTATATTACACATCTCTAAAAACTGATGAGTTGGAGTATTTCTTCATATGCCTTTTGGCCGTTTAGGTTTCTCTGGCATTCATTAACTGCTCACGTACTTTGTCCATCTTTCTTTCCATTGGGGTTCCTGTCTTCTCATTGTTTATGTGCAGGAGTTCCCACCATACTGATCCCCTAGGGGGATTAGTTAGACCCTTGTCGATCTTAGACATTGGAAAATTTCTTTTTCCAACTTGTCTCCATATTTAACGTTGACATAGGTGTCCTTCATTGAACAGAAAGCATCAATCTTGATGTAATTAAATGCATTGATATTTGTTGCCTTTTGGTTTAAACTTGTGATGTCCTCTCCTGCCCCTAGAACACATAAATATTCTTCTATATTTGATAGCTTTACTTTTTTACATTTAGGTCTTTAATCTTGTGGAACCCACCTCTGAATACGGTTATCAGGTAGAGACCCAGTATTTTTGTCCATAAAATAAGATTTTTCTCAAGACTTTTCACTAACTAGCCCATTCTTCTCCTTGGACTTGGGTGATCCTTTACTGACTATTAAGTTCCCAAATATTCATAATGAACTCCTTACGATGTTGGCCCATTTCTTGTTCTTGGTCCAATATGACATTGCTTTCATTTCTCTGGTTTTGTAATATAAACTATATCAGGCAGGATACAGTTCATATAGTTTACATTACCCTCACCCCTCACATTACTCCTCTTTTTTCAAGGTTTACTTAGCTATTATGACCTTTATTCTTTCACAAACATTTTAGAGTATGTTTATCATGTTCCTCAAAATATCTAAATAACGTTTTAATTGGAATTGTACTAATATAATATTAGTTTAACCCATCCAAGAAAATACGAGTCATCACCATTTTATTTAGATCGTCTGTGAACACACATTTTAACAAGAAAATACATGTCAGTAATGATTTCAATTCAAGCTAAAGAAAAATATTCACCACATATATACATACCTAAATAAACTATTTCGTTCTTCAACTGTAACTTACCAAAGCAGTTATTGCAGGGAAGTTTTTGGACATTTCTCTAAGAATAGTACAAGTCCTAACATCCCATAACTCCAGGGGTTTATCTTTGAATACAACTGCCAAATACTGCCTAAAATAAACAAAATTACTAAATAAGCCCCTTTTTTACAAAATTTTCACCATATGCTATACACATAAACAGTTCAGTAAATCAGAAAACTCTGATGACACATTCTAAACATAAATCATTGAAAAGACTTAGTCCTCATGATTAAGACGGTAAAGTGCTAAGATGACCTTTGAAAGCCATATAGCCATAATTAGACAAGGAGCCCAGCTCAGAAGAGAGAATGAGAAAAGGCAAGGGTTCACCTCCTGCTGCCGTATCTTACAATAACTCTCCTGAGGCTCACGTTTCTCACACATGACATGAGAATACCACCACCTATGTCAATGGATTGGTATGCAGGTTATGGTAAAAATTACATGAAAAAGTATGAAAAACCATTTATAACGACATGAAAAAACAAAAAATAATTAACAAAGGACTTGTGAGACATACGCATTGAGGACTACAAAAGATTACTGAAAGAAATTAAAGAAGACCTAAAGAGGTGGAAAGATACAGCATGTTCATGAATCACAAAACTTAAGAGGTGAATCCTTCCCCACAATGATCTATGGAATCAAAGTAATCCCAATCAAAATGCCAGGAAACCTTTTTGGTAAAACTGATAAGCTGATACTAAAATTTATATGGAAATGCAAAGATCCTAGAAAAGCTAAAAAAATTTTGAAAACTATTTTAGAGAGCTTACTTCTTTCTTTGATCTTTTGGTTTTCATTCAGTCTCTATTTTTAATAATCCAGCTTTACATGTATTTTCCCTTAGAATAAATACTAAAAAACTACCTGGAACTAAAATGGGTTTAAATTATAAATGAAGAAAATGAACTCTTTCAGTCAATAAACCCATGTTGAGGTGGAAGTGCATCAGAATTTCATCAGATAACGTTTTCTTAGTGGGTGACAGACATTTACACCAATACAGCTATAGCAGATCAAAACAGGGTTACTGGTTTTACCAATCTAGTGAAATGTTAAGATCCATACAAAAGTTACCTCATCTTTCAGAGGTGGAGAATTAAAAGCAACTTAATTTTGTGATCAAAACATTTTCTTTGATATGGCATTTGCTATCATTAAGAAATTCTATATGCATTCTAGCATACTCTCAGTTTCTTAAAGATAAAAAAAAAATCCTTAAGATTCCATTGTGATAATGCCATGGATTTTTTTCAGATTGACACTTACTTCAAATGAGATACTTTAATCATTTCGATGGGCGATTCATCATTGCCTCGTTCACCTCGAAAAGCAATGCTCCTACCTTTAATTGCAAATATTAAATAAAATGTGAAAACAGCACATAAAACATGTAAGAAACGAGAAACAATACCAATGCAATTTGATCAGTGCTACCCTCTATTCTGCCATTCATTCTTCCATTTGTTTCTAAGCTGTTTCTAATAATCTAAATTCAAAGTATTCTCAAAAGTATTATAAGTTAAAGACCAATAATATATATCTATTTTATAAAAAAATATTTTTGCTTATTACAGAGTTTCTTGAATTCCTTCTGTGGTTTCTTTCAAGTAATTTAATTTTAGAAATTTAGAAATAACAATTTCTAAAGTTTGAATCCATTTATGGGAGGGAAATTGTCTATTGTAAAAACTACTGGTATATTTGAAGTAATATAAACATTCTCATGCTTACATGTACTAACTAGTGGGGAAAACACTCCTTAACTGATATTTAAAATTTCTTGTACCATGTGCAAAATACTCAACTAAAATACTTGACATGTTCTAATCAAAAGGTCTCTATAAACTAAAATTGGGGACTGATAAGAATTAGCTGCCAAAAAAGCTAAATGATTTTTCTGTAATTAAAAAAAATGCAAATTCTACCTTATGTCTGAACAAATATGTTTTAAGATCTTTCCTAGATTTTTATTTACATTAAACAAAAGAGAGAACACACTCAATTTAAAGACAACCGAATGCCTACAGGCCTCCCTATTATTATTTGCCAAATACTCCACATCCTTTCCTGACTCTGCTTGTCTGCTGCCCTCAGAAGACAAGGCTATAAAAGTACATAATCTAGGAACTCAAATGTCCCACTTAAAAAAATCAGTAACTTAGAAATTTGTTCCTAAAAAATAAATTTGTAAAGGACAGATTTTAAGTTATCTAAAAATCCTGAATTTGACCTGATTGAAAAAACTAAACAGGGATTTTTTTAGTGAAAACAAATTTAGAGAATACCATTTCATCCTTGGGGTACCATGCAACTAGAGATCAGTGCATTTGTTGGCAAATCTGGAGATAGAGGTTGCTGGGTAGGTCACTCACAATGAAACTAGAGCCAACACTGGCCTAAAGTTGGTGTTAATTCCTTGAGGTTCAGTAACATACTCTGAAAAGTATGTCAGTTGTTCTCACCTACATCTTAGAAATACATATTGAGACTATAAGGAAGCAATCATACTCTTAATTTACTACACGTTACATACAATGCAAGATATTACAAATCTTATTGGTTAAAACTATCTACATATATTCATATTGGTACACCATTTTAAAGAAATCACAATTTTGTAAAAAAAAAAAAATTGAAATCACTGCATGTGCTATAAAATAATTTGAAATCCTCACCTTATTCTATTTTCAAGTTTTTCTTTTTAAAACTCATTGGGTTGTAGGTTTTTAACAACTCTGAACAAGTTACTTTACTGTAATGTTTCCTATTGCAGAGTCTTTAAACTCTCAAATTAAGTTTCCCTATTCACTTAGCCAGAGACTTTCAAAAGTTTTAAATTTGAGCATTTAAAAACAATCCTTACCTCTAAGTTTTTTAAGGGTTTCCTATGAAGTCCAAAATTTTGGTATAAATTCTGATAAATCTAACTACAAAGATTTATTTTAAAACTGTACTTTTGGTAATCTATAACAATGTATTTAAAAGAAGAACCGGCATCCTATACACTTATGAATCTGTCTGTTCAGGCTAACGGTACTCCATTTTACCATAACACAATTTGCATACAAACAATGATGAGTCTTTTCTAGGACAATTATTACAGAACAACAAAAAATAAATATATAAACACAGAATATATGAAAAAACTCTAAGTTTTTTGTAGTCTGGAACATGTTTATACAAGACAACATTTCTGATCAATATGACAAACCATTTTGAATCTTGTAACAGTCTAAATACACCAACCTGTTGGAAGATCAACCAGCTGAAGTTCATTTCTCACTAATCCCATATTGTTTGGTGTTGAGGTAGCAAAAGAAAGAAAACCAGTCAAACTCGTCCATTCAATACCCCTATAATGACAAATTAAATAGATATTAATCTAATACCTGTTTTGTTTAAAAAATTTATTTGAAAAATAAGTTTTTCCTAAACCTAAATTCTATTATACAAGTTAAGAAATAATATTAATATGACCTTACTTAAGACTACATTACCATGTATTTCCAACATATATGAAATTATTTATAATTAAAAGTTTATTTCCAAATGTAATGATAAGATTGTTTAGTTATGGGTATTCACAGAATTAAAATAATTATTAAAAATGGCAAACGAGAATCACATCACAGTAGATTCTGAGAATTCCATTGCTTAAAAACAAGTGATAATAAAAACATTCTAAGCAGACTGCTTCAAGTTGAGAATGCTTAGGAATTTTATCACAATTCTTGGTTAAGAAGCAGAAATTCCTGAAATAAACAATACAAACTGAGCCATGAAATTTGGAAGTGGTTGAAAGTTCCAAATTGTGTATCAGTTAGAGAAAAGCACAAAAGAAAACTCTCAAAGAGAAAGACATGCTGACAAGACAGTAACCTATCCCACTGCCCTGGGAGTTCCTCTGTGTGGGACTGATTGGAAGTGAGTCCACGTTTTTCCCACTAACCTCACTGGAGAATGTTCACCATCATGGCTTGTAGAGAATGGAAAAGATGGGGCACAGGACAAATAGACCATAAGAGTCATAAGAAGAACTCAGAAACACTGTACTACTACCCTGTACGACTTACAAGGTGATAGAGGCTGGTTGGGAGGGATATCTAAGTCTCTGTTCTATACGTAACTGCTCATCAGCATTTATAGGAAAACCATTGTTAACATACTGTCTATGGCTGCTTTCACGATACAATGGCAAAGTTGAGTAGTTGTGACAGAAATTTTATAACCTGCAAAGCCTAAAATTTTACTATGTGGTCCTTTATAGGAAATGTTTGCTGACCCAACTGAGTTTATCCATCTCTACTTCAATTTGAATGCTATTGTTAGATTTAGCATCAAATGCTGAACACCTCTCTCGTTTGCCCAAGAAGGTACAATGGCTTCGTGCATCACATCCAAACTTCTCTAAGTTGCTTTCAAGGCCATCCAGCCATGTGTCTCATCCTATCTGACGAAACTCACCTCTCAATCATATGACTCTTGTCTGCTATTTTCACTAGAGTAACTTCCTCACTGACCCTTGTGCATCCATCCACCTACTTGTCTTTTCTCAGAGGGACAAAGATAATCCCAAGTGAACTGAAAATAATATTTGCAACAGCAGGAATTGCTTTAGTCATCAAGGATTATAACTCTTTAAATGTAAAATTGTGTTAAAACACTCAAATCAGGCTGCTTAAAACAGAGTCCTCTTGAGAGTTTCCAAGGCTGGAATACCTCTCTCTTCCCTTCCTCAAACACTATGTAAGTGCAAGTTGGGGCTCCAGCTGGTCTCCCTACACCTGTTTCCTCATCTGTTATGCAGGGATAGTAACAGCAAGTGCAAAAAGGAGGCCTGGCCCAGAACAAGCACTGTATGCATTAGCACTCATCATCATCATTACTCTGGTGTCAAAATCTAAGGGAAGCCCTATTTTCTTCATGAGGCCTCCCCGTTTACTAAGCTAAAACCACACCTATAGTGAATACAATATAATTTGGTTAATTATTCACTGGAAAAGTCCCTTTGTCTCATGTTTCTCTTTTCCCCCTGATCCGTAACAGTATTCATTAAGTTTTCGACTCAGTGTGACTAAAAGGAAAGAAGAATCATTTCCACTTCTTCTGCTCTCGCTCTAACTGATGGCTGCAATCAGACCTTAAGAAACCTTAGGACACACTCTCAAGTCCTGCTGCTGGCGGTGTGAACCACTTATGTGCCAGCGCAGTAATGCCACTATCTCCGGACACTAAGAATTCCAGTCCCCCCATTCTTCAGTCCTTTTTAAAAACACATCTGCTAGTGACTATACGAGACACTGGGGATACAGCTGTGAACGAGACAGGTATAACCTCTGTCCTGGAGCTTATCACCTAGCAGAAAAGAAACATTATGCAAATACACTTTGCAGAACCGATTACAAGACAGTGCTGCAAAGTCCAATGGGACCTGGTGAGAGTCACATGAAGTCTGGTCTCAGGGGCCAGCAGGGCTTCCTGGAGAACCTTTAAGCTGATACCCAGGGGGCAAATGCGCTTTGCCAGAAAGCCTGACCAGCAGAGGGGACAGTGGGACTGGCTGAGTCACACGGCACTATGAGTATGTTTTACTCTCTCTGGAGGGAGGTGCATGCCATGCCTCGCCAGGCACATGACGGGCACTCAGTAAACTCTTAAATAATTTCGGGAACAGCCTAGTACTCTTCCTTGTGTTTATTAGTGCCACACGTATTCAGGAAGTGCTTTTCCCACCCTTTATAAGATAGCCCCGTGCTCAGGATGTCATAGACCATGGGGTGGCTGCTTATTTGTCATCTAGCACCAGGAGCATGTTCCCTTTGAGCAGATTCCAGCAGCAGCTTGCACATCCGATGCCTACTGATAACTGGAGAAAATCAAAATCAGGTGGCACTTAAAAGTAGATTAGATAAGGAGGGGATTATTTCTCAGAAGAAAAGAATGAAAACTCTCTTGTCAAACACAGCCAAACACCAGTGCTCTCAGGATTAGAAAACTATTACTTAGGTTTAAATGACACACTGAGCTCTATAAAAAGCTTGTAAGAGGAGCAGCTCTTTTTCCAACTTTATCTAGGTTTGTTTTGTAGGATTCTTACTACTGAACAACTGTAACCTTATCAGCGGGTGTTTGGGGCTGACTCCTACAGCTTCCCAAGATGGGCCTGCTGACCTCCACTGCAGCTGCTCAGAGGCTGCGTCTCAGCGCTGGGTGGCTGGGGGAGCACACACTTTCTGAAAGGCCTTGAAGTTCGACCAGTATGTAAAACGAACTTCTGCAAGCTTACAGGCAAAATAGACATCACTTTACTTTCCACGAATCACCCAATTTACTCAAAGCAATACTGAAATCAATCGATGTTCTGATATCCATATAAACTACTGTTCTAATAATTTTTGATACTGAAAATAGTACTGGACAATATTATCATAAATTTAGTCTACCGGACAAAGACACAGACTAATAATCTAAGAAATCTAATCATCTAAGAAAACCTGTTTGTACCACTCCACTTCATTTATGTCTCAGTATCTTCCAACAGATGATAAGCCTCAAAGATATTTTGTTTGCAGGCACACAGAAGATGCTCAATACTTGCTTGTAAAAGCATAACTAGTTAAAATGTCATGGTTTTTAAAAAAACCACACAGATGCAACTGTCTGCAGTTACGCAGTCCCTGACCATATGTGTGCATAAGATTCAAGTGCCTAAGATTAAGTAAGTGGTTTTAAAACACACTCAGTACAAGGTAGAAAAACAACTTTCTAAAAGTTGGCTTGTAATTTGCATGTGAATACCTAGAATGTATTGGGTTTGTTGCTAAATAGTTCAGCAGTTTTTATGACACATCTGTGAAATTTCCATAATGGCTTTTAAATTATAATACTATAATTGCATTAATTGAAATACAAAGACAGAAGAATTTTAGCATCTTCTGGGGTACCAGCTCTGGAAATAAAAGGTGAATTATCTTCAAAATGGCAATTAAAAGGAAAAATTCATATAAAAAAGTGGAGCATATTTGTGTGATCATTCATAATACCAGCCTGTCTGAGTAGTATATCCTTTAAGAGTTATTTGGTATCCCAAGTAACACTTTATACTCTCAGTGTTACTCAATAAGAAATATTATTATAGCACATGTAAGTCATGTATTTAGTGACATCTATGACCTAACTGAGACAGGATAACAAATCTTACTTAAAAATTTGAATAGCTCACTGATAAACTAGCTATTGTGTCTTTATTAAAGATTTCAGTGTCCAGGAAAAAATGAAAATGTGCTTGATTTTCCAGAAGCATGTATCAAATTCTTAACATGAATCCTGTTTTAGTCAAATTTTTATCTTATTGTCAAAATGCTTCCTACTAATCTATGTGTATTTTTTAGCTGGAGATCTACCACATAACCATAAGAGCTCAGTTCCTAAGCCTAAAAGACCTAGGCTGAATTGCATCTAACTTTTCACAGATTCTAATACGCTATAATACTCGGTTTCTTCTTCTATAATTGGGAGTAATAATAGTGCCTACTGCACAGAACTGTAGCGGAGAGTCAATGAAATGATGCAAGCAAAGTATTAATATTTAACATAATCCTTAGAACAAGTACTGAGGAAATGTAGAGTTTTGATTGGTTGGTGTTAGCTATAAAAGGAAATACATACAAAAGACAAGAGTGAAAGGAAATATCAAGAGAAGAAAAGTAGACAAGAAAGAAAGAAAGATCAAGAGTGCGAGCTCTGAGCAACAGCGGTTTGAGCCCAGCCTGAGCTGAGCTGCCACCGAGCTGCCAAAAGGTGGCAGGATGGCTCAGCTGAAAAAAAAAAAGAAAGAAAGAAAGAGAGAAGATCTCAGCAGTGGCAACAGGGACTACAGGAAGAAGAGAAGGAAGATGGGCAGCCTGAAAGGGTGCAAATAGAGACATGTGTCCCTGTACCCCCAAAGCCTAACACTTCTGAAACTGAGATGACTCCATTTAAATGTATTTAGGGAGACAACTAAAGGGGCACAACATGAGGTGGCCTAAATAGTCACCCAGGCTGCACCACAAAACAATGAGCCTGAAAGAACAGGCAATGCAAGCTTCTCAGAAACTTCCATCACAGTGAGCAGTTATGACACTTAAAAGGTTAACCCTTCCCCGTTCAGAAAATGCATTTCCTCAGAATAATGTGTTCTTTAAGGTTCACTAAGAATTTTAATGTATACCTGAGACCTATACTTATATAATGCACAGAGGACAGAAATTGGACTTACTTATACTTTTGTTAAAAGATCATCAAAAATTACTGGCAATTTAATAACTATATTATACATGTGGAACTTCACAATCCATCCTTGCTAGGGCAAAAAAGGGAAAACAGCCATATGATGAGCAAAATAACATGATGGAGCAGATAGGTATGTACTTTTAAAAATAGAAACCAAGAGGCATTTTTATGTCATTTTAATTAGCCCTCCCTCACAAATCTTGGCAAACACCAGTACTCATAAAACAGATCACCTCTGAAAATGAAAAACTAATGCCATACAGCTTTGGTCCTTTCCCAACGGTGCTTAAACAAAGAAATAAATGGAATTAATAATAAAAACGTCTTTATTCAAATTTTTCATGAGCAGTCCTACTGAGGGATCTTGACAGAAATGAAAAACAAACTAAATAAACCCGAACAGGAAAGCCAGTGACTTTCAGTAAGAAAATAGCCTGGACCTTAGGAGAAATAAATAAGATGCAGCAATAAAAGTGAGAAAAAATTATGCACTGCATAACGTCCTTTACATAAAGCAAACAATTAGTCCTCATCCTTGATTAGCATAGCCATTAGTTGGACATGAATATTTATTATCCAAAGTTTTCAGTCAAATAATCACCACTGAAGAATATTCAATGCAGAAAAGTCTGTAAGAACTTTTTTTTGGTCTTCTGTACATTGGTGATGTCACGGACACAATGACAGACTCACCTGACTTCACACGAGTGGACACTTAACTCCTTGTGCAGCAACCCGCTGGTAAGGTGGTACACCAGGACAGAACCGTTCCCCGTACCTATCAAAATGACGTAATAGAAGAGCATTTACCTAGGGGAGGTCCAGACCTTTCCAACAAGGCTTTTCTCAAGATTTTAATCACTTCACAATATTTATCTTTATGAAAGGGACCAAAGCTATGTGTTACAAAAGACTGAATTTCTTTGCTTCCCCACTTATCAAAAATGAGCCTTCTCTGCTGTGACCTGAAATCTTACCTAAATCAAGCAATAGATTCCACAGAAAGACTTCAAAATCTAATTCAATGCACATAAAGTTTAAAGAAGCACTTTCCTAAGCTTCTTTACACATGGGAGTTTATACTTTTTTGAACTTTAGAACGTTTACGATAGTTGGCCCTCAAAAAGGCAACCTAACTCTTACTAGACTTCTCTAGTTTTCTTTACAAAGATTTTATTTCTAATTTGTCTTTTATATTAAGTAAATCACAAAGAGATGGTAAATTACAATGGTTAACTGGATTTCTGCAGTTAAAGGAGCCTGAGTTGAAGCCCTGGCCTAGACTCTTACAACTTCCTGGCCCACATTAATGCTGTGTTTTTATCCCTTTAACAGAAAATCCATTTGCTGGAGATTAAATGAGAAGACATATGTGAAACAGTGCAGTACCTGACACACAAGTAGTATGTGATTATTACTGTTATTACTGTAATTACGGTTTGTATTTTTTTGCTTCAATCTTTTTCTGATCTCGGTACTGTATCTAAAACTTAATTACAAGGGACATGGCCATTACTTGAGAAAGTAATGTTTCAGTCCTTAAAATGTTTTTATACAATAAGCAAGAAAAATGAACAGTATAATTAGTTGGACAATCGCTTTCTCACTGCACATAACTTAAAAGGATTAATGAATTTATACAAAGCAACAGAACGTAAAAATAGTAAATGTAATGATAATAATAATAGAAGTAAAAATGGTAGGCAAATTCCAATTTTTAGGTTACTTGCTGAATAGAGCTTCAGAAATTTTTTGTAAAACTACTGTAGAATAACACAATATTATACTTGTTTACATTTATCATCTATTTCACAATACCTTCTAGTACTGAGAAAATATCTCAAGAATTATTAAAACTTTTCAGTTAACAGATCTTTATAATAATCAAATGATTTCTACATTCTGCAAGTTCTGATGATGCTGACCCTATGATCTAATACTATGGGGCACCACAAGAAGTAACTCGACAGCTGAACAAACTCTGCAAAAACAATTTTATATTTTTTGCTTTTACTTTGTTATTACACTAAACTCAATAAATGACTTGATATTCACTATATACAAGTGCAATACAGCTTATTCCACAATAAAAATCTCAGCTCCTGAATTAGCTATTATCTAGCTATCGCAAAAAGTAACTTTCTCCAAGAAATTGACAAAATCCTAAAAAACAAATTAGGTATATTGACACTGTACATACATTGTACATTGACAAATCTAATTAAAATCTCTATAAGAAGTTTAACATGAATCAGCAGCTTCTAAAGCAAAACTTAAACATTCATCTGCATTTATATAAATCTGGACATATGTACACACAGACTACTGAACTTTAAAATTCAAATGACTGTCAGAAAATATTAATGAAAAAAAATCGGAAAAAAAAAAGAATATGTCAAATGGTAATATTCAAATGAGCCTTTAGTACTCACAAGTCAGCCATTTACGCTAACTGAGACATGCTAGCAATAAAATAAATGTGGTCAGGTTTTCATTTTAGAAAGAAAAAACAAAAAACTCACAAATCATATGTTTACAGACCTGTGGAGAAAGCCAGAAGCCAACAAATAACATCTATAAAAAATAATGTTGATAATTTCAAACAAATATACTATTTTTTGAAATTTTAGAGTAATGCATTTTAACTGTCCATACTTAATAGCAAATTTTAATTTGTTTTTTTCTATAAAGGAAGTTAGGTTACTCACATTATTATGAAATTAATGTGACAGCAAACTGAAACCCAGACCAATTTTTCTATCTACAACATAAAAATATGCAATTTCAACCCAGGAGGCAAACCTTAGTTTATAGAGATCATAGACACCTTAAACAATTCTAAATAAATAACTTGTAGCAAATGAACACTGCTGTTATTAAACTATCAACTATGACCATTTATCAGTACCAAAAACCCAATACAAAATGACATGCACAGGAAGAGCCAGCAGTGGTCCAAAAAGAGACAAGGAGTCCAGGTTTAGCATCACACGAGGACTATCCTCCCGACATTTCAGAGGTACTCGCAGTGTCAGGGTCTCTATCACTCTGTGTCAGGTGGACGGATTATCATTGTGATTAAAAATAAGTAAGTAAAAAGATGGGTGGATTTAAAAGACAGAAAAAAAAGAAGGAAAATATTTTAAGATGAGTATTTACAGGATTTCACTTAGCCCCTTCCTCTTTATTCTCAAACAGAAAGAAGGATTTTCTCATAACCAGCAAACTTAAATGTCTTCTATTAATGCAATGTAAAACATGTGTGAAGAATTTAAAAAGGAACAGGTCCCACACTCACCTACAGCAAGCAGTGGCTGATACATCTTGATGTTTTTTGTGGTCAGCGGCGGGCACATGCGGAGAGTAAACTGCGGCGAGGGCAGTCCTGAGAACAGTCCTGTTAGCAGGAATTTGAGGTGCACTTCCTGCAGAACAGGGCCCTTGGGATGTTCTTCCCCAGCAATTGCACTCTGCCCTGATTTGTAATCAGAAATACCAATATACTAATTATAATGTATGCTGATCTTAAAAATCTAAAAACACTTTGCAGTGGAAACACTCTTTCAGGCCTCAAAGAGTATGTTCCAGTCTAGAAGGTGTAACGAAGCGCCCTAGGGGCTGTGCCTGTACGATGGCTGTGCCTGGCTGTAGGATTTAAACCGCATTGTCTGACAGCTCAAAAGACAGACCACTCCAGGCTGTTGCTATCCAGAATTCAGTGACCTTTGTCTTCGGCTCAAATTCCTGGCATTAGCACCCCAGAGGGCAGCTTCCGGGGAGGGGGATGCTGCAGCACCCCCATCTTACCGCCGTTCTAAAGGGAAACTTTCAGTGCACTTTATCAAGTGCACATAAAACTGGTAATCACAAATAACAGGCTCAAAGAACTCATTTAGATTTCTAATGAGAAATCTTAATGTGTCCATGCAGTTACAAAATTTAAGTTTTATAATTACTTTTTATGTAAATATGTAAAATAAATATAAAATATATATTAATAAATATTATGCATTACATATAAACTGTAACTTCCTATAAACCACTATTGACTACTGAGATTAAGTTGTCAAAAATACATAATAATGAATATGTGTGTATATATGTATAGTCACATACATACACTGTGAAAGGGAAAATGTAAATAATTACTAAGAGTGGGTGATGGGACTGACTGTAAGCTTTTGAGGCTATAAAATTGTTTTAATGATAATGTTATTTTAAAACCCGTAAGACATACAGAAAAAAATGGCCATCAATTTAATCCACATAGAAGGATCCCTCTGCACCAGCCATACAATTGATATCATCAGCCTTTGGTAACAAAAGATGGGGTCTAAAGGAATGGGAAGCTCAACAGGTAGGTACCATGTTTATCAACCCTCAGTAGCTTGGAGCTGACTCCTGAGAANATCCCGGATTCCCTTACAACTATAATAGATCAGGCCATGAGACTAGATTCTGGCCAATGAGATATCAATGAAAGTGTTGAGAAATCACCCTTCTGTGCTGTTCAGTCCTATTTCAATATTTATACCCTACATTATTGTTATCTGAAGATATGTCTGTCTAGCTGGGAAGACATAACACATTTTTAGGCAACTATAATATAGGAGAATAAATACACTCCAGTAGACTTAGAACTCTTCCCAGAGGGGGGAAAGAATCCCAACCTTCCTTTCTTCTTAATGCCTAGCACATTTCCTGGTCCTCTATAAATGATGGGTGGTGTAGGAGTTTTAAACTGCCATAAGTATAAGGTCAACCAGGCACCAGGTGACAATGAGTCAGTACAGGAGCTCACAGATGAAGAAAGGCAGAAGGTAACCATCTTGGAAGAAGAGGGATTAATTAATTTAAATCTGTAAACTATCTTGAGAACATAAATGTTTAATAATCAAGGCAAGGATGGATGACTAGGTGGGGTTGGGACAAATGTGAATTAAGTATGTCAATGGATTTTACTGCATTCTCTGAAGCATCTGTCTTGGCCAATATGGAAGACAGAATATTGAACACACTGGATAATTGCTCTCTTTGATAGTAAAGAACATATGCTCCTCTTTTATGTCTGAAAAATACCATTTCACTCCATGCCCAATGACATCAACCCCAAAGCCTGGTAATGTAGGCTCAGAGGATCCTTCCACTGCTATATCATTTGCATCCCTAACCTAGGACAACTTTTTTCCCTCTTCCTTTTAAAATTAGTGGAGATAAAGAGTATAATGGTGATATTTCTGATTCCTACTCTGCTTGGGTGGGGGAAAGAAGGAGAAAGGGACAAAGGCAGAAATAATATATCACTNGGCTGTATTTTTCTTCAAGCACCTTCCGTAGAGGCAATGCACAAGGTAGGGCAGGTCTTAATAAGCAGCAGCTTTTACCCAATGAATATAAATCAAGCCTCTGTATTTAACTGAATTACTTTCAATGATCACTGAGTACACAGTGAATTTCAAATTAAAAGTTTAATTAAAAGTTTTAATGAAAATGTTTTCAAGTAATAAAGCCTTATTTTACTCAATACTTTTAAATAAACTACATTGTCAAGAACAATCTATATCCTTTTGTCTCTTAAAAAAATGCTATCACTCAGATAACTTACACAGCATAGCATTTTATCCTCTTATATTACTGATTAGTGCTGTGCAGGTGTGCTTACAATTCTTTTCAATTTAATATTTTATATTAAATGCAGACAAGGTCAGTTAACTCAGAAAATGTGTTACGGATAAAATGTATTTTGCAAGACAAGTATGCGTCTAAACTTCCTTATATGGATTTATGTCTGGAAGGTAAAGAGAAAGAATTTTAAATATAAAAGTATCATTGAGCCAAAGGGTTTTACAACTTACAGGAATCATGCGAAAATCAAGGCCTGGGAAGGTCAGGTCTTGCCTAAGATCTTACTGGCGCAGCCAGGCCTGGAGGGTCCAGGCCGCAGTGGACGGGTTTCCCTTTTGGCTCTTGCACTTACTGGTTGTCTGGTTCTGAGTAAGTTTTTTAAAATCTCTCTGGGTCTCAGTTCCCACATACATAAAATGGAAATAATAATATTACTTACCTTGCAGGATTGTTTGAGGTAATATGCAGAACATTTTGCACAGCATTTAACATAGTTATTAAGCACCCAATAAATGTCATCTCCAATTAAGATTAATAAGGTAATGCTCTTCCTAGTGTATCATCTATCATTTAAACAAAACAACCTACTAAATACCAATTTTCAGTAACATTATGGAAGAATAAATAATGACACAGAAAATCCTTTACAAACCACAGCCACAATTAAAAAAAAAAATTAGAAGTCAAAACTGCTTGGCATATTTACAAATTTTAGTTGTATAATATTTGAAATGACAAATCCTCACTCTTCCTTTAATACATACTGGTCCTATAATAAATGAGTAATTTGGAAGCAATATTTTATCTGCAAATAAATGTTTGTTGAAAGTAAGAATCCCCGATATGTAAACAAGAAAACGTATGTCAAAAAGTTAAAAGAAGTTTTTCTAAGACTGCTCAGTTACTTTATTATTCCTTCAATAAATATTTATTGCACATCAAGAATGTACAAGGCTCTGTGCTCTCTCCATTTTAGTTTTCTCAAGTACTAACTTTGACTTTATAATTGCAAATCAGTGACTATTAATTTTGCCCATCAAAAAGAATACCTAACATGAAAGTTAGAGAACAAAACAAAAGCTTACCAATCATGTTATCTAAGGAGAGGTCTGGGAGTTTACTCTGTAGCATTCCTACAGGAATTCCACAGAAAGACACTGGTGAATATAAAGGTGACACACCAGAACTACTGCAAAGACAAAATAATCAGATGGTTTTTACATATTAATAACCTGCATCACATATTAGTAACTAACAAATGACTAACTTCAGATCATGCATTGTATCTATTTTTCTGAGCCATAGATGAGATATCTCTAGTAGGTTTACATAATTCCCTAATAATCTAAAGTCTTAATTACCACTCTAAAAATATTTTTATAGAAAAAGTCCCTGCTATTTTTATATGATTCTGGTAAGTTCTAAAAAAGAGGAGACGGAAAACAAACAAATGATCATATTGACTGATTTACCTGTTCCGTGAATTTCGATTACAAACTGCAGACTTCAGTTCCCATATCATGACCCTTCCATCACTCACGATGAGGGCAGCGGCATTCTCATTGACAGGACAACATACCATACTGAAGGGACGGACAGTTTTTGTCACCCTGATTGCATCACACTGGCTTCGTAAGTCATAGGTAAGCTCCTGGACAGGATCTAGGTCTTAACATAGTATTGTTTTCTTGTAAATATCAGAAAGCAACCATAATGATATTACGAATACTTGTTTTAATTTAAATAAAACCTCAACTAAACAGGATATCATTCCTTTACTAATGCAACATTTGTCAAGAATGGCTTCCCTTTTTATAATTATTACTACTAATTTCTTCAGCATATAAAGACAGTTTCCTTAATGGCTATCTGCGCCAAGTTTAAAATACAAAATAACAACAATAATCAAAATAGCTTATATTTTAATATTTTTAAAATAAAGAAAATGCTTTGAAAAATGATCAACAGTGATATGATTAAATAATGAACAGTGCATTACAGACCATCTTAATTCACAATAGCCTATATATATATATATAAGCCTGAAAATAACTGTGCTTTACAAAATGTAAAAAATCATTTTCACCGTTACATAGTACATTGTTTGAAAACATTATTTTTATTCTCCAAATAAGACTGAATGAAACTGACAACTGAATGACCCGGAGACTTATTAACCTATGTCATTGTACAGTGGAAATTCCTAACGTGGAGGAAAAGTCAAGGGGTTATAATAATAAATGTACATGTAATTTGAACTTGTGCTAAAGAAAAATTCACAAAAGATAACATCTACTTGGCTGGTGGAAATAATCAAGGAATTACAAAATACTACTTTTTTTGTTGTACACAGGAGGTGTACTTGTATAACACCATGAGATTATTCTTGGGTTTGTGGTTTTTAAACACCACATTATAGCCACATTCTACTTTCTCAAAGCCAAGATTATCATTAACTATGATTTGGCTGGTATTTACCACTTGAAGCTTTATAAAACAATTCTGAAAAAAAATATAATTAACATTATTGTGAAATATAAACTTACCTGGTTCCTCATTTGAAGTGGTGAAAATATTATTATAAGATCTTCGAACACGCAGAGTTATACAACCATTTTCATGTAGGCAAAATAAACCATCACGTTGAAAGCAGGGTATTACCTTTAGATAGATGATTTATGTATTTTTAAAATCACAATGGAGTAAAGAGTATATACTGTAAAACTCATAAACTCATATTTAGAGAATATGGGCAAAGAAAACCAAAACATACCATATCATCCCCAAGCTTTAAAATTAAACATTAAAAAGAAATCCATTTATAATCATAAAAAATTCTGTCTTTATCCATATAACTTAAATAGCTCAGTAAATATCTTCAGATCAGTCAGAAGAATTTCTAGGGTAATCAAACCAACCAAAAGTGTAGAAAAATAAGGAATGTAGAACAACACTGTTAATCTTTAAATCAATAGAAAAGAGAAAGTCAAACAGAGGACTTTTGCAAGATTATAGTTTTTCTCTATATAACTTTCATAATCAACCTTTGGGATGTAATTTATAAATTGTAGATACCTGAAGAAATGGAACTCCTGTTCGTTCTATTGCAACCACACCCACTGTTTGATTCACCTCAAGGTCAAGGATTAAAATCTCTCGAGGATAGAGTAACAACATGTGATTCCTTTTGGAAGGCAGGTATGCCAACTGAAGGCAATCATTGAGAGTTATGAATTCAGCACTGAAAAAAGGAAACATTTACTTTAGGCATCAAGAAATGAGTCAAAGACTTTATTCAAATCAGAAAAAGCTAATAAATAATAGAATGTTGTACTTTCCACATAACAATTGTCAATGAGAATGTACAACTTTTTCCTGAAATGACCAACAGGAGCTGGTATCTAAAACTTAAGACTTCTACTATGTGCCAAAATCCAAATTATGAAATAGTGTTGTGTAGAATGGACAGAGATGTGTTTCCAAATTTTTGAAAAATTTAAAATAAAGTGTAAGATTAAGTCTGTGATATAACATGGTAAGTGACAATGCTATACTGGCATTCACAAAATAGTAGTTTTATTTTCATTTTGCAATGAGAAGTACTAAACAGACTGCTGAAATCGAGACTCAGGGTTAAAACAAAATCTTTTAGAGTAATTAAGGCCACTGGATCAGGGGTCAATGGCCTTGGGCAAGTCACTTCCTCCATTCTGCCTTCATTTACTTTTGAGCTGTTTCAAATCTTTTTTGAAACAAAGTAGGGTATTTTATTCACTTATCACAGCATTTTCTTCTGTGTAACTAAAACATAAAACTATATGAGGATTGTAAAAGACTGTTAAAGAATCTCAAAAATCATTTTAGTAATTTGTGATTATTGCATATATTTAATTACCTTTTTATATTAAATATATTCCAATAGAAACAGACATACAATTACTTTTTCAACATAATAATTTTATCAAAAGGTTTTGAAATTTAAAATAAAGTTAGATTAGAAGACTAGAAAGAAGGATTTGGACAGCATTAAAATCTTGGTTCTGTCATTTCCTGGGTGGGTGAATTGGGTAACATTTAAAACACTGTGGGACTCAACTTCCTCATTTATAAAATGAGAACAGTACTGCTACCCAGGACTGTAGTAGTATTACATGAAATAATGTATGTGAAAGTACCTAGAGCAGTTCTATTTGAAGGAATTAATAATTCATTTCCCCCAAACTCAAGATGAACGTATGATTCATTTGAGAAAAATGTAACATATAAATCATAACTTGTAAAAAACTATTCAGACTACAAAATATTTATTTATGAGACAGAATCAATGAAAAATGAATAGCAAGTTCTCTTAAGATATTTAAGAAGCAATCTTAAAATTATTTCAGCATAGAGTGGAGGATAAATTAATGAACTTACCCAGCCTATGGTTTAATATTTAAAAATGATATTTACATATAAATTCAGAATGTACAGCAATTTGTATTTTGCCACTATGTGTAGGTAATTACCCACAAAGTCTAGATAGAATAATCTTAGCATATTAAAAATAAAGGCTCTTTTAACATAAATGCTAAGAAACTGCCAAAGCAATAAAACTATAAGAACAATCATAGCCCTAGGAAAAAGACAGAAATCTATTTCTAATGCATAAAATTAGTTACTTAAAATAAAATTTTATTCAGGTGCCTTCTGATGTGAACAATAGCTAGTAGCACTTACCAAATGAATACTTACCAAGTATTAGCCGCTATGTTAAGTACTTATTGTATCTATTAATTCTTTTTTTTTTTT